TTGCAGCCAAGATACGCACCCGCCTATGTGCAGCAAAAAATGTGCGCCCAAATATGCAAGGAAAGCTTAACGTCGAAAAGCTGCAATCACAACAGACAGCCAGCGCTTTCGCTACTCGACTCTCACACCTGCTCTCAGAGAGCACTCTTCAACAAACCGACATATGCGAGCAGTGGAACCACATTTCCCGCTCATTAAGTACCGCCGCCGAAGAAGTAGTCGGATTTCAGCGAGCCCGAAAGAACAACTGGTACGATGAGGAGTGTCAGGAAGCTGCAGAGAAAAAAGATGCCGCCTACAGGGCCACGCTGCGATCGGGCGCAACGCGCGCTATGTGGGACCGCTATAGGGATCTGAAGAGGGAAGCGAGACGTATTTGCCGCAACAAGAAGAGAGAGGCCGAAATACGTGAGTGCGAAGAGCTTGAAATGCTGGCCGACAGGAGGAATGCCCGAAAATTTTACCAGAGAGTTAGGCGACTTACGGAAGGTTTAAAGACCGGGGCGCACTCCTGTAAGAACAATAATGGCGACCTAGTAACTGATGTCCAGAGCGTACTTAAATTATGGAGGGAACACTTTTCCGCCCTACTAAATGGTAGCAGCACGGAAAGTTGTGGAGAAGAAGAATTCGAGCCCGCAGTCGATGATGACGGAGTCGACGTTCCACCGCCTGACTATGACGAGGTACGTATAGCAATAACGCGGCTGAAAAACAACAAAGCCGCTGGAGCTGACAGCCTGCCAGCTGAGCTATTCAAGTACGGCGGCGAGGAGTTGATAAGGTGCATGCATCAACTCTTGTGCAGAATATGGTCAGATGAACGCATGCCCGACGACTGGAATTTAAGTGTGCTCTGCCCAATCCACAAGAAAGGTGACCCCGCCATTCGCGCCAACTACCGCGGGATCAGCCTTCTAAGCATAGGTTACAAGGTCTTATCGAGCGTATTGTGTGAAAAACTGAAGCCCACCGTCAATGAACTGATTGGGCCTTATCAGTGTGGCTTTAGACCTGGCAAATCCACCATAGACTAGGTATTCTCAATACGCCAAATCTTGAAAAAGAACCGCGAGAAAAGGATCGACACTTACCACCTATTTGTCGACTTTAAAGCCGCTTTTGACAGCACTAAAAGGAGTTGCCTATACGCCGCTATGTCTGAATTTGGCATCCCCTCAAAACTCATACGGCTGTGTAAAATGACGTTGAGCAATACCACCAGCTCCGTCAGATTTGGAAAAGACCTCTCCGAGCCGTTCGCCACAAAACGGGGTTTCAGACAGGGCGACTCCCTTTTATGTGACTTCTTTAATCTGATGTTGGAGAAGATAATAAGAGCTGCAGAACTGAACCGCTCAGGAACAATTTACTATAAGAGCGTGCAATTGCTGGCTTATGCCGATGACATCGACATCATCGCTAACAAAAACCGCGAAGTCTGTTATGCCTTTTCCAAGTTGGATAGGGAAGCAAAGCGAATGGGTCTGGTGGTAAACGAGGACAAGACGAAGTATCTCCTGTCATCAAACAAACAGTCAGCACATTCGCGCAATTCGAGAAAGTAGAGAATTTCGTTTACTTGGGAACCAGCATTAACACCGATAATAATGTCAGCATTGAAATCCAACGTAGAATCACTCTTGCCAACAAGTGCTACTTTGGACTGAGTAGGCAATTCAGGAGTAAAGTCCTCTCTCGACGTACGAAAACCGCGCTCCATAAGTCCCTCATCATGCCCGTGCTGGTATATGGCGCATAAGCATGGACAATGACAACATCCGATGAGGCGGCTCTTGGAGTGTTTGAGAGAAAGATTTTGCGGAAGATTTACGGGCCTTTACGCGTTGGCGACGGCGAGTACCGCAGACGATGGAACGATGAGCTGTATGAGCTTTACAACGATATGGACATAGTGCAGCGAATTAAAATACAGCGTCTCCGCTGGCTTGGTCATGTCGTTCGAATGGACACCGACGCTCCAGCTCTGAAAGTATTCAACTCGGAACCCGCTGGTGGTAGCAGAGGAAGAGGGAGGCCCCCACTGCGATGGAAAGATCAGGTGGAGAAGGACTTGGCTTCACTTGGCGTTTCCAATTGGTGTCAGTTGGCACAGAGCAGAAACGACTGGCGTGCTTTGCTGAACTCGGCCAAAATCGCTTAGGCGGTTACAGCGCCAAAAAAGAAGAAGAAGAAGAATGTACCGGCAGTGATAGGAGTAGCAAGCAGCTATGATTGCTGAGAGGCATTGACAGCTTGTTGCGTGAAGCTTTGCCTAGTATACAAGTGCTGTTTGTTATCACGCAAATAACTGCGTTCAATATACCGAATAAACAGCTTTGCGGCAGAATACTTACGTTTATGCGGGTCACTCCTACGACATGTACGTCATGAAATTAAGAAGCCGATATCGCCGAGGCGGCTAAGTTTTTCACGGATGAGATATTTATTTCAAATAGGCGTAGGCTTTACATTATATACAAAAAAAATATAAAAATAGTTTCTGGATGAATGCTATTATTTCCTTCACTTTCTGTTAGGAAATAGCTAAGTAGCATCAAAAGGAAACTAGTAAGTATAGTTAGTAGGCGCACCTAATTTTAATCGGAATATTTAACCAGAATCAGTTACTACTACTTACTCTTAATACTAATTTTTTTATACGCGCATATAAATAAATTATCCTTAAAACAGTTTATAATTTCCAAAATCACTTAGCCATTTAACTGGCCATTGCAAATGATTTCAAATTGTAACTACTTCTTTGCACAAACACTTTCCGCGTGAACGTGATTTTAAAACAGAAACGTAAAGCTTTCAGAAGTCATTTACTGGCTTTTTGTGATAGAAAAATGCGCTTTAATACAAAATTACGTGTGTTTGTAAATATATGTACTTAACTGCTAAATGTGTGAATAAAGAAATGGAATGCATAAATTCACCAATGGGGTATGACACGAACGGGCTGAATCAAGTGGAAAGTCAAAACATTTATAAAAGTTTCAATGAAAGAAAAATATCTGTGTAGAAAATTTCACCTAAATAGCAGCACGTTTGCTATTTTCAGGAACAACTCATTTGGGAATATTACATTGTGCGTTGTAACCAATGTTGCCAGATTCATAGATCTAACTTTAAATTACAGTCCTTTAGTCAAGCTTGCAGTACCTCCTACCTAAAATTACAGTTCTTTCGAAATTTAAGTTTTGAGCGAATATTTAAATAAAAATTTCTCTTTCGGTTTTTTTTTTGCAAGTCAATTTTTAAGGTAAAAAAGGGGTTGATGTTGATGTAATTCTCGCAGGAGATTTTAATGTCAACTTTTCGCTGGTCGAATCTGGTGGTTTGACAACAGTTTTCGAAGAAAAATTTTCATTGGAAATGGTTTATGGTTGAAATGATCGAACAACCGAAGGATTAATAATATTGAAATAAAACATTTCATATCTTACTTTAGCTACCACGATCCACTAGTTAATATTGTAGATATGAATATTTTCTCAGCCACAAATTAAAATTAATTTTATTTAGCAGTTGGTTATAAAAATGAAAAGTTAAAGCTCATTAAAATAATAAAATAAAAATGTATGTTGTATATTAGAAGATATGTACATGTGTATGTATGTATGTATATATATCGCACATCTCTTTCTTTCTGGAATTTCCTCTATTAAGTTTCACTTCTTCCGCGCGTACGGACTACACGGACTGAGGTTTTATGTTGATAAAAGAATTTGTAAGATGGCTTTTCTTGATTCAATCATTTAAAAAATTTAGAAAATTTTGTATTTCACATCCAAGTACATAAGAACACATGTTTTAATAGAAAACAGCTAAATTTTTGCTTTTATTTTAAAATATCAATAATGTTGCCGCCACGGAGTTATCGCGTAAATGAAAATGTAGCGATCAAAGTACCAAATTGCTGGCAATATTTATCAAGATAAAAGCTTTGATTATTGCTTGCCAAGAGCAATATGCAAGATGATAAAACTATCAAGATAAAAACTTTTGCCTGTGGAGGCAGCAAGAAAGGGGAAAGTTTTCATAAATATCTAAATTTTAAGCAATTACGCAGGAACACGAAAAAAATCGGAAAATGTGTATGTTTTGGGGTCGCTGAATACGAGTCTGAAATCCAGATAAAAGTAGATCCGTCAATATTTATAACAAAATTCTGTCACATATAGTTTGACATGTTTTTTGAGGTTAGAAAAAAATTACCGCGCTTGAAAACTGAGTTTTATTGTTTTACTTATGTTTCAAGGTTCAAAGAATAAAGTGAAATCGGCTAGATATGTGTGCAAAAACTTTTATTTTTTATTTTTCTTAAATGTTGAAAGTCAAAACTTCCTGAGATACTCCCATATGTATTATTAAACGCATGCAAATCTCATTTTTACAGTAACTTAATTTTTATTTCAGATATGTGGTTTTAACCAGTAAGCATCATGACGGTTACACGCTGTGGCCGTCTTCAGCTTCCTTCAGTTGGAATTCTATGGATATCGGTCCAAAACGAGATATTATTCGTGAGTATAGCTACAAAATAAGAGTGTCTCTAAAACTGTTCTGCAAAAATAACCATAATTTTTAGATTGATATATTAATTTACATAATGAATAACCAAAACATATTTTCTGAAATTTTTTTGCAAAAATAATTTTTTGGAATCATGCCATAGACCAGTGCTGTCCAACTGGTAGTTCGCGGGCGGCTACTAGCTCGCGACCTGTATTTTAGGCGCCCCAAACCATAAGATGGGCAGAAGAATACTCTATTTACGGTTGTAAATGCGAAAATGTCAATTGAAACTGAGAATCGTCAATTTTAAATGAGAAAGCTTTAATAGCCAACTGTAAATAAGATTTGGCAATTGGAAATAAATACATATATTTGTGAAATCCAAGGACATTAATGAAGAAATTCTCAATGACCATGTAGATAAGAATCTCCGACTTGGCATTTTTAAATGATATAATTGCAAAACTAAATAATCTCAATAATGGTTTTCAGAAATTATGACTGCATTCTCAGCGTTTGTGGAGCAAATTTACTTATGAAAGAGGCTGTTGGCAGAGAAAAACTGTCAACTTTTCCCGTCGTTTGCCCTTTTTTTGGACATTACGAGG